GTGCCGCGCACCACTCCCCCCCCCCCCCACCATTTTCCTATTTGTATTTGACTTTGTTCATGGGTGTCAAAAAAGCTCAGGTTCCCCAGATTGTTGAATGTACCTGCCAACTCCTAAATTAGCCCAGGACAAGAGGAGTACCCACTGAAGAGGTGGAGATAAAGGCCAAATGAGATGGAAGAAAAGAGAGATGATGAGGTGGTATAAGAGAGAAGAGAAACACACTCAAGGGAACACATTGAAGAGGACGGGTTTTTGGAGTAGTTGAGGTTCGAGTGCATAAGGGTACGACCTGAACATGAAGCATCTAAATACACCAGAGCAGAGATTAAGGGGAGAAGACTGAAAGGGGAACAAAGGTGGACAGAGGTAGACTACGAGCAGAAAGTACATTAGCGGAATACAAAGGAAGGTCATGGCACAGAGGGAAGGAGTGAGGAGTAAGGAGTATAGATGATGCTGTGAAAGAGTGATAAGGAAGAACACAAGCTTGAGCTAAGCAAAGGAAAATTACAATACTGAGCAACATCTTGGGTCACCCCATGTGATCACTGCCGTTACACCACACTGAATGTACAGATGTCTCTTGGATACACAATCCCGTGACAAGATTCAGAAGCCCCTGTAATCTCCGCTTCCAATATTACCAATACAATACGAGTTGGAAAATGTATTTTACGAGTAACACCAACTCAGCCATCTCGCTCGGAGCCTGGAAAATGAAAACGCGAATGATTGGCTACGCTTAGACACGTGTCAGTCAATACACTGCACGCACGGCTGAACTATAATTTGCTTTTTTCCCCCTCTAATCTCTGCTCTTGAGGCTGAGAATTAATTAGGAAATATCGAGCTGGCCAAAAGCACTTAGTACTGTTCATGCTTCCCTGTGTAACTCACCCCCGTACTAAGCCAGGACATCGAGGGGATGAAACAGTCATCAAAGATATCAATGTCAATTAAACTAAAGAGGAAAAGAAAGACCTTTGAGGTTCCTATACAAAGCTCCGGACACAGTTAAAGATGAGACCAGTTAGGTTCTTATGTAGAGGGTCAGGCACAGGTGAAAAGGAAAACTGAGGTACCTATGTAGAGCTCGACACAGGCGAGGAGGAGACCTGTGGAGGTTCTTCTATAGAGCATCGGACACAGGTGAGGAGGAGACCTGTAAGATTCTTATGTAGAGCATCGGACACAGGTGAGGAGGAGACCTGTAAGATTCTTATGTAGAGCATCGGACACAGGTGAAGGGGAGACCTGTTAAGTTCCCATATAGAGCTCAGGACACAGGTGAAGAGGAGACCTGTGAGGTTCCTCTATAGAGCTCAGTACCCAGGTGAAGAGACCTACGAGATTCTTATGTAGAGCATCGCACACAGGTGAAGGGGAGACCTGTGAAGTTTCCATATAGAGCTAGGGAAACAGGTGAAGAGGAGACTATGAGGTTCCTATATAGAGCTCAGGAAACAGGAGCGGAGACCTGTGAGGTTCCTATATAGAGCTCACGACACAGGTGAAGAGGAGACCTGTAAGGTTTCTATATAGAGTGCTGGACACAGGTGAAGGGGAGACCTGTAAGGTTTTTATATAGGATCCCAGGACAAAAAGGTTAAGAGGAGACCTGTAAGGCCCCTATATAGATCTGAGACACAGGTGAAGAGGAGACCTGTAAGGTTTCTATATAGAGTGCTGGACACAGTAAAAGAGGAGACCTGTGAGGTTCCTATATAGAGCTCAGGACACAGGTGAAGAGGAAACCTGTGAAGTTCTTATATGGAGTGCTAGACACAGGTGAAGGGGAGACCTGTAAGGTTTTTACATAGGATCCCAGGACAAAAAGGTTAAGAGGAGACCTGTAAGGCCCCTATATAGATCTGAGACACAGGTGAAGAGAAGACTGGTCAGGTTCTTATATACTGTAAAGCTCACGACACAGGTGAAGAGGAGATCGGTCAGGTTCTTATGTAGAGCATTGGACAGAGGTGAAAAGGAGACCTGTGAGGTTCCGATATAGAGTTCTAGACACAGGTGAAGGGGAGATCTATAAGGTTTCTATATAGAGCTCAGGACAAGGGTTAGGAGACCTGTAAGGCCCCTATAAAGATCTGAGGACACAGGTGAAGGGAAGACTTGTGAGGTTCGTATATCGAACGCTGGACCCAGGTGAATAGAAGACCTATCAGGTTCCTATATGGAGATCCAGTCACAGATTAAGAACTCACTATGGTGCTTGTTCTAGCCTCATCAGGAATGTCTGCTCCGTATCCAGCGTCCTCTCTCTCCTCTATCAGGTCATTTGCTGTAAAGCAGTCATTTGGTAAAACGACATTGAATGGTCAGCAGTATAATTTAGTGTTGGCTCTGCCCTTGTGAAGGACAACAGAACATACGTGATAGCATATGGGAAGCAGGAGGCACATGTCATTTAAGTCTATGCTCACCTGCTGGAGCTATAATTCTTCTCAGCAGGCAGAACCATCACAAGGCCAGTATCTCAGACCCAGAAATGGGCACAGAAGAGAGCTCACTGTTGCCAGAGGTCAGGTTGGCACTCAAAGTGGTAACTCTTGTGCCAGGGCTCAGACTGGCTGTGACTTGCACAGGGAATCTGGGTAGTCGGTGGCAATGTGTCATACTCATTTATAACATGTCTTGTTACCCAACAGAGTCAACTCACAATCAAACATTGAAATGTGGGGAAGATATATTTCAACAGACATTTCATTATAGACACCTGCAGTTTAAAATGATGACAGAGAGCAATATGTTGTATATTCGGAACGGAAACATACAACCCAACATATTACAAGTTCTGCTCAGGAAGTTTTGCACATTTTTCCACCCTCAGTACAGCTAAAGCAGTATATTTGTATTTTGCTGATCACTGCAGGCTGGGCATGAGCAAATGGGTGATCTCATGGACTAGTGAAGGGCCAGTGATGGAATGGTAAAGGTTTGGTGAAGCAGTGATGGAATGGTAAAGGTCTGGTGAAAGACCAGTGATGGAATGGTAAAGGTCTGGTGAAAGACCAGTGAAGGAATGGTAAAGGTCTGGTGAAAGACCAGTGATGGAATGGTAAAGGTCTGGTGAAAGACCAGTGAAGGAATGGTAAAGGTCTGGTGAAAGACCAGTGATGGAATGGTAAAGGTCTGGTGAAAGACCAGTGAAGGAATGGTAAAGGTCTGGTGAAAGACCAGTGATGGAATGGTAAAGGTCTTGTGAAAGACCAGCGATGGAATTGTAAAAGGTCTGGTGAAGGACCAGTGATGGTAAAGGTCTGGTTGGTGAAGGACCAGTGATGGAATGGTAAAGGTCTGGTGAAGAAGCAGTGATGGAATGGTAAAAGGTCTGGTGAAGAAGCAGTGATGGAATGGTAAAAGGTCTGATGAAGGACCAGTAACGGAATGGTAAAAGGTCCGGTGAAGGACCAGTAATAGAATGTCACCAGACCAGTAAAGGTCTGGTGAAGGAACGTTGATGGAATGGTGAAGGTCTAGTGAAGGCAGCTCACATCCAAATATATTAAGTCCAAAATAAGTATCCTTGTATTTTTTATATTTCAAACAAGAAAACAGCCTAATGGCAGGAGTTTTCCTTGGCACATTCCCATCAAGTAACTGGCACCTACGTCGGTGGCATGGAGCATTCAAAACTTCTGCCCTTTGATAGATGGCTGTGGCTGCTGCCTTGGAAACCCATTGAGGCCAATGACGGCAATAGGTCATTCAGAATGGGGTTCAAATGAAGAGGACCACCAGCAACTAAAATGGCTTTACGATCTCTTCTGCTGTCAGCAAACCCGGTGAATCAGTCTTTGCTTTACTTCCACAATCAGAATCCAACTCACAACTGCAGAAGCAAAAATACTTTGCATAGGAAATGTCATCGGCGCACGTTAGCTACGTAAATGGGTACACTACAATCCATAAAACGGTGGAGAGATAAGACAGAGGAATGGGGGAGGGTATAGAATGGCAGATGGAGAGAGTGATGAAACCCGGAGAGGAAACTGCTGACTGAAAACTGCCTGACTAGGTGGAAAGAGGAAGAGGCAGCAAGCATGGAGTGGAATAGGTTATAGACAGAGGTAGATTAATAGCGGAGTAACAGAGTAATGTTCTGGGAGGAGACACCAGCAAACGGAGAACAGGGAGGGCAGAGGAAGCACGG